TCCCTCTCGTGTCAAATTAAAAATAAATAAATTAACTTAAAACAACAACAACAATAATAATAATAATAAAGCTAAATACAATAATGCTTTAAAAAGGTTTAAAATATGTGAAATTGAACAATGTAATGGCTAGGACTTCAGATATTATGGTAAAAGTATAAATAAAAGCAAGGGAATAATAAACACAAATTCAGGATAAGAGTTACCGAAAGGAGGGAAATAGCATTAGGGAGGCACACAACAGTCTTCGGTGTTCTTTATTCTGGTGGGAGATGGGTGTTCATTCCATTGTGATTCTTTTATACCTTCTATAACTTTAATTCATTCAATAATTAATTTAAAAGTTCTTAAAAATAGGGACTGTAAATATCTATCCATGTTTCATAAATGATTTGAAGACAATAACTGTGCTAAATCCCATCTCATAGATCTACATCAATAAACAGCAACTATTTTTCCTTCACTTTCTATTCTAAATACTACAAAAATCGGAAGACTGTGGCAATAAATATCTGTATCCCAAGAACCAGCAGGTGGCATGGTGACTAAGGAACTGGATACTCCCACACGGCCAACCACGGTTCGAGTCCTGGACCTGGTGGCTTGCTTTCTCACTCCTCCTCCCCCTCCCCACTCTGTGTTTCTCTCTGGTCAAATTAAAATAAATGAATGAATTGGGACCAGCAGTTAGTGTAATGGCTTTGTCACTGGACTCCCATGTAGTTGACCACAGCTCGAGTCCCAGATCTGGTGGCTTAAACACACCCGGCGTGTGTGCTTATGTGCCCAAGATCCTGAGAGGAGAATGGAGGAGAAGGGATTGCAGTGTGGCCATCCTCTCTGGGAGGTGATTTCTCGTCTCTCTGTCTCTCTCTGTTTTTCTCGCTCGGTCACGCGCCATTTTGCAGAAACCTCTCAAAACAAAAATAAAAAAACGAAAGAAAAAAAGAAAGAAAGAAAGAAAGAAAGAAAGAAAGAAAGAAAGAAAGAAAGAAAGAAAAGAAAGAGGAAAATTTGTAAATTTACCCGAATTCCTCTTTATGGGATTTGAGAAAAAACATCACGTATTCTGAGCCATGCTTCTAAATCTTAAAAAGGGGAGCAGCAATTTTTCTACCATCAAGGGGCCTTGAAGGAGAATAAAACTGAAAACATATTCACCTTCGTCCATGATACCTTGCGACACCAGTGTCTAAGGTCGCCAAGGTGGAATTCTGAGTGAGCGGCCAGAAACCACTGCTAGAAGGGGCCATCAGTCTGAATATCAAGGGAAACTGATAAATCGTCAGGGAAATCTAAAATGTCCAGGTATCACTAAAGATGACCCAGTCCTCATCTCAACGCCCCACTATACTGCCTCCCGAGGGGAACGATATGTTCCGACTTGTTCATTCTTATCCCTTGATATTTTTTCTAATACAGAATTTTATTTTGATTTCTTTATAATTCTTTTTGCTCTTCCCATCAAGGAGATATTCCAAAGAAAAATAAAACTATTCTGTTTTAGCAGTTCAGCCTTTCTGTGAATTAATTTCTCTAGGGTTTTGGTATGCAGTAAGATAAAACCAAAAACACCTCTCATCTTAACAGGAGAAGGAAGTATTCAATTAATAGAGGATGCTGAGTTTTAAAGTGTTATTTTAACAATGGATATTCTCTCACCCTTATAATCTCTTTTCTTCAGATAACCTGAGAATGTCTATAGCTGGTTAAAATTCTGCTAATTGCTTTCAGAGCCCATTGAATTAGCAGTCCCTGTGTCCTCTGGTGGCCCAGCTGGCTCCCTTCTGTCCTCCCCAGGGAGAGGGGAACAAATCCTTTAATCTGGGTTTGGGAGACTGCACATTTGTACACTGCGGTACTGTTTGTTTGCGTTTGGGAGGGAAGCAGCACAAGAACAGCATTCTAAGCACGTGTGCACAGCTCCAGAGCCCTGAAGGATACACCTGACACCTACACTATGAAACTCCCTATGCTAGGTCAAAATGGATTTCCGGAACATGGTTTTAAGTGACCAAATTTGTTTTGTTTTGTTTTTGTTAGGACATGTGTGGTTACCAAAGAGAGACAGAGAGAAAGAGAAAGTGAGAAATCACCCCCAGGAAGGATGGCCATACCATAATACCTTCTCCATTTTCCTCTTGGGATCTTGGGCATGCATGCTCATGTGTGGGCATGATTTTCAAGCTGCTGGATCCAGGATTCAAACCAGAGTTGACCATGTGGGAATCCAGCACCTTAACCTCCACACCACCTGCTAGCCCCAACATCATTTGTTTTTGCCAGAGGACTACCAAACTGTAAATATTACTACTATGTCTTCTTTTCAAAATAGATCTTAACCTAGGTTCATTTCAATTGAACATGACCAAAAATACAAATAAATATGCTAATATTTATGGAGCGTTTGCTGTGTCATAGGCAAGATGGACACGGTCCCTGACTATTTCACTTTCTGGCTGGGTAGAAACATCGTTAGACAGGCAAGTACAGCACCGCATCGAGTGCCACGGCTGGACAGCTGGTGTGTTTGTGAGTGGCAGTACCGGAGGAGTGGAAGAAAGCAGAGAAAGAGTGTCATGTGTGGGCATGATTTTCAAGCTGCTGGATCCAGGATTCAAACCAGAGTTGACCATGTGGGAATCCAGCACCTTAACCTCCACACCACCTGCTAGCCCCAACATCATTTGTTTTTGCCAGAGGACTACCAAACTGTAAATATTACTACTATGTCTTCTTTTCAAAATAGATCTTAACCTAGGTTCATTTCAATTGAACATGACCAAAAATACAAATAAATATGCTAATATTTATGGAGCGTTTGCTGTGTCATAGGCAAGATGGACACGGTCCCTGACTATTTCACTTTCTGGCTGGGTAGAAACATCGTTAGACAGGCAAGTACAGCACCGCATCGAGTGCCACGGCTGGACAGCTGGTGTGTTTGTGAGTGGCAGTACCGGAGGAGTGGAAGAAAGCAGAGAAAGAGTGTGTGGGAAAGCAAAGGAACCTTGAGGTTTAAAGGAAGGTCACCAGTGCGGCCATAGGCTCAAATATGAGGACGGAAAGGTCACTGGTAATATTGGAGAGCATGCCACAAGGGCAGAGCAGGTGGGCGGGGTGTGGAGGCTGGCTGGGAGGTGGGGGTGTGAAGACGACACTGGACAGCTCTCTCAGTTTGGCAGCTGGAAGAGGGGAGAGAGAGGGTTACACAGGCTGAACAGAGGGTGCTTTTCAAGTTTATTTATTCATTTCTTCCATGAGCAAGAAAGACAGAGAGAGGAGGAGAGAGCCAGACAAGATAGACACTGGCACGTTCAGGGAGGTGTCCAGAGGCTACCCTGGAACCTTCCCTTGTGAATCATCCTCGCAGAGCATGGCATTCCACCACTTGTTTTGTCTTTGAGCGAGCAGGGCAGGTTCAAATGGATGGAGAGAGCCTCCAGAGGCTTGAGAGGGTGCAGAGTCTGCAGTAGCCACCGGAGAATGGGAGAGTGGTTCAACTAAAAAGCCAAAGAAGAATTATGCCACTGACTGGAAAGGCTGACTGTTTCCCTCCCAGTGTCCAATGTCTTGAGTATATAGCAGAGAAGCCCTTGGCCTGAAATTAGGAAAACTTGAACAGATAATTCCGGGACCCAGCAGGGCCTAGGGTACGACTAGGGGACAGGTGGCTGCAAAGGAGTTGGGATGAAGGTGTTTGAGGATGAGGAGCTGCAGGTACTAAAAGTCAGGTTATTAGTGGCTGGATAATCCATTTGGCTATGAGTGGGTATGCTCAGTGATATCTGCATGAAGGAACCTCTGGTATTTCTCTTCTACTTCAGGACAGAGTACTTTCCTAGAGATCTCATTCCCTGCCACCTTTTTCTGTTGAAATTTTATGTGACCAGCAACGAGGGGAATCCCATTGATTAGGCCAT